TCTTCTCTTTTTACGGATTACGTATAATTGCTTTATTAATTTGTGATGAAATGAACCCCATGATGCACTGCACTTCACTGCACTGCCCGCTTGCTTTGCTTGTTGGTCCTCCTCTTTTTCCCGGTTCGAGGCCGACTGACTGCTTGCGTTCTGTCTGACTGCAGGACTGACTGGTAAATTTTGTCTTTTGGGGGGGTTCTTTTCGGCTTCGGACTCCATAGGCCGGGAATGGAAGGGGGGTGAAGAAAGGTTTGGAGCGGCATTATTCCGTATTATTTAAAATACTTTCAGGTAACCTAGAATTCCTTCTGTGTCTCAAGCGACACAACTTTGAAATCTTTAACCAATTTCCCCTCATTGAAGAAAATTCAAATGCAATTCAGAAAATTAATTGAAATTGAAATTGAAATTGAATATGTAAGGGTACCTGTATTCATGTTTCTCTATCTTAAAATTTGGCAAGCGTTAACCGAAATATGGGAATGTCCGGAAGGTATCATAATGCACCACTCGTCGCGTAGACATACCCGCGGTTTGCCGAGCCCGAGCCAGCACCGAGAGCTTGAGGGAAACTGAAAATGGAAGAAAGAAAGAAGATAGGGATTTTTCGGACACTAACACGAAGAGCCAGGCGAACTCAACCCCGCAAACCCCCCGAAAGCAATGGCGGGGGAGGAGGATGGAGTTTCGCGTGCAGTCTCGAAGATTCCCGGAGGAAGAGGTCCACCGGTTCGTCCAGTCTGTTGCCAAACTACCTACGTCTTATGGGCCGTATACGGTGTGCCTGGCTTGCTGGGCTCCGACGATTCGGGCGAGCAGCCGTCGTCGTCGCTGCGTCATGTGCATGCATATATCAAGTGGTGGTGGGTGTGGGGTGGATGTTGGAAAGAGGGGAGGGGGGTTATTGATGTGCTAACAGTTCTGTACAGATCCACATAGTAAGTTGTTAGTGGCTGGTCGTACTTTTCCGAAAGTATTTTATTACTAGCAGAAGAATTTACTATTGGAGAATTATGGGCCTGTTTAAGTTATTCTCGTTTTGTACGTGGCATGTTCCTGGTAGTGTACAGTGGGCGGGCAGGTATTGCCACCTTTTCTTCTCTCTTTCCTATCCCAGCGCAGCCAAGCCAGCCAGCCCAGGAAAGAGAGGGGCAGGTGGGGGATGAAAGGGAGGGGAGATAGTTTGGTCAGTGTCAAAGGCGTTTCCACTATGGAAACAAATCCCGTGCCTAGGATATGTACAATGGTGTGTGGGTGGTAATTGGAATGGGGATCACAAACCGATAGTTGTGCAGCTTGTCTGGCAGGATCTTCAGCAGATGGTGAAGCCACTCACGTAGTTCGCTGAAGTCGCACAGCAAAAAGTCGGAAGTCCAGGTACAACCTGCCCCTGCCCGCATATCAACATCACACACATCACATCATCCAGGTAACATGGGATTGTGATTCTGGCCATGCCGGGAGAGACGGGGGGAACAAGCGGGTGAGAATTGGTGGATGGGATTGATCCCATGTTCGTTCTGCTGTTGTTCGTCCGGCCTACGAGTGCATTACACAGCACATAATGCAAAGCAACACCTCCGCGTGGTCCGTCGATGATTACAAAGAATATAATTAGCAATGCTTTTCTTTCTTTTTCATACAGATTCGGAGAAGAGTGAGACAGTTGAGAGCACCCCCGGCCGCGGGAAAGTCGTCCGCCGGTTGCTGCCATTAGATACGTTAATGGAACGAGGAGCAAGGTTCGTTGATCGCCGTCCAGGGGCCCTGTGAACAACCGATGGCTTCCCCCCCACTTCCGCACACCATATGATTCCCCCTCTCCGCAATGGCTCGGACGGCGGCTTTGCGGTCTCTCGACGGCTTTCCGCCCTTCCGGCAGGCTCTTTTGTTGCTAATAAGTACTACGTGCCCAAGCGGCTACAAGTGGAGCAGGTACATGTACAGCTTATTAGGGGATGTCAAAAACAAGGTATCCAGAGACTACCTTATATAATTTATATTCATCTACCCTGTATGCGAGTTTCTTTCTTGGGTGGGTGGTGGTGTGTGTTCCGGAGCAGTCCAACCGTCCTAAAGACGAGACTGGTTCGTGACCGAATGATCATTTGGAAAGTGGAGGGTCGCGACGGCTTCCCAAGAGAGATAGATACCTACTTCGTGTTGCTTTGCCGCCCGGCTGCGCAACTCGATGAGTTGGCCGTCCATCTGTCTTTCAAACTCCAGGTTAGAATCCCACTCCCACTTTTGCCTCTCAGGAATTGTTGCTCACTGCCGGCGCGGTTAACAGAACGGGCAATTTATTATTTTTACTTACCTACCTCTCCTTGACCATGTTTTCTCCCAAAGCCTGGAGTTGGTTTTCTTATAAAGTGACGCAACCAATCGTGAATGACAAGTGTCCAGGAAAACAGTTTCGGCGTGCACGGCATGAACATGCCAGAAATAAGGTGAGCGGGTTGCGTTCCCAGGCCCATGCGAGGAACTGCGAACGAGGAGGATGGCAGGAGGGGATTCAGTTGCAGAAGCACCAATCAGCACCTACCTAAGGGCAATGCAGGCGATGGGACGGTTGCGCACGGGTTCGACGGCGTGCGGACGGAGCCAGGCAGGCACCAACCACTTGCACTGCTGCGGTGGCAGTGGCAGTGGCCGATTCATTTTCGCTGATGGAATAATCCGCTCCTTCTTTCTTTCTCTCAACAACGCACTTACTCACCGACATACATAAACATGCCTGTAGCCTACATAGGATGCAGTGAGCAATTCGACTCGTCAGATTCTCTCCTTCTGAAGTTATGTGCCAACGAGTGAATTCTTTGGCCGTTTGGTCTTTTTGGGCCGCCGTTGCATTCAGTCGTTGAAATGCAACTCCCCGCCACTCCATTCCGTCATGGGATGTGTCTCATCCCGGGTCCCCGCCTGGCTTAGTCGGGAACTTAAGACCAGAACTACCTGGTACCTTTTTCTCTGTCCCGATTTCAGCCTTCTCTTCTCTCTGGAAGAAAGTACTTGACTTTTTCTGTGTAATGCCAGTGTAAACTACATGTAGATACACGTTGCAAGGAAAGCTGCGTGATATCAACCTAGAATGTTACCTTCAAACCAAGCATAGACAGGAGACAGAAAAAGGAGGGGTCTAGGTCTGCTGCGGACGCTAAAGAAAGCACCCAACCCAAAAGGTGGGGACGTGACGGCGTCCCTGACTCGGCTTAGTGTATCCCACTTATCAGCTAGCGTCTAGCACCAGCTCGCCCTTGAAAAGGTTAAAAGATGCAGCAAGACGCAGCACCGCGCGTTTCCATTTCTGGGGCACCCGTCTTGGGGGTAGGGACCGGCCGAAATGGGCCGCCGGCTTTCTCCTGCCACCAGAGTGGTCCAAATCGTGGCTCGTATCATCTGTTCGGAACTGTGTGCTGGACATGGAAACTCAACATCTCTGCTGGTCAGACAGGGAAACAGCCAGCGAGCAGGCATATCGCGTGTTTCTTCTGATTGGTAATGCGGAGATAAACTCTTTCAATCATGTCTCTCTTCTTTTTCCTTTTTTTTTCTCCTTTATTTGAAAGTTACACCGGGAACTTACTTGCCTCCGGTTTCTGCAGCCAGCGGTTGGCCTACATCATGCACTCTGGTGATTTGGCGGGCCTCTCCTGGGCCGGCCCGACCTGCCCGGTCTAGCTGTGGCCTACAGCGAAAGTGGTGAAACGGCACGAAAAACAAGAGCCTCAGTCAGACAACCAGTCAGAGACGTGACGTGACGTGGAGAAATCACAATAAAAACCAAAACAAATGTCTACTACAGTTACCCTTTTCACGTATATGGATGGGCCTTGGATTTTGGTCAACATCATGGGGGTGCAGTCACAGCAAGAACTTTGGGAAATGTGAGACATACGGTTAGCAAGCAGGGTCCAGGGGCTCAGGCAAATGGAAAGGCTGACGCCATAACGCCCGATTGGTCCTACATTTTACGGTGGTGGAATGACGAAAAGTGACCGGTGCCTTGTTAACGCCCCCGTCATAACTTCCAAGGTTTGCTTGCATCCTTTTTGTTCTTGACTGCGCAGCCTGCGGCGAATGTCCAAGCCAGCCAGCCAGCCCCGTTTCAATCAAACTCCGCCCAAGTTATAAAGTGTTTCCCTGCCGTGGCAACCTGGAGAGAGTATATTATTTTCCCAGTATCTGTAAATAACTAACCCGTCTTTTTCATGTTAAATGAAGGGAGTTCGGTTGGCCCCATGCAATATAAAAGTATACCCAGGCGCTCTCCCGATAGTGAAGAAAGACGGGGAAACGTCATCCTTGGTATAATCATCTCCCGATATTGCCGTCGAACACTCTAGCACATTCGCTTATATTAGTTGCCTACATCCTCATGGGGTGTATTTATGACGTGCATGTCGTTGTCCCCCTTAGCCCTGGTGAGCTATTATATCAGGCATTAAAGTAAACAAACAAAGCGTAGTCGTTACAATGCCATGTCTGATTCCATGTTAGATATTGGTATTGCCCTATTTGTTTTGGGAATCTTTATTGTCTGAGGGCAGGGCATCGTACAAAAACCAAACTTAAGCCGTCCCAGTGTTGACGCAAGAATATCAGCAACATAAATAACCTAATCTTCTCCATATCTCGACCAACTCCATAAGTTATCTACATGGCAGATGAGATGATAGGTTATCATTGTACTGTACTTGAAAAGTCTGGCAAGGATGAAGAAGACTTAAAGCGCAGATGTAGAAACTCAGGGTTGAAGTATCGCAATACGTGAGTACATCATAACATCCATCGAAGCAACTCCCGGTTGCATTTCTCTCATAGACAACTAAAAGATACAAAACTTGGTCTTCCTATCTCCACACGTTCCAGAGTCTCGAATCCATAGGTAGTCTCCACAACTCCATCCACCCACGATCCGCAACCTACGAGGAAAGTCCACACAACCTAGCCAAGGACGATATATGCCAGTCATCCCACCACCTCATTCATCAAATAACGGCTGGATGACCGAGCGGTTAAGGTGTTGGTCTCAAGTGACTTCTTGACTCTGAAAAAGGGATAAGCTTACCAATCTCGAAAGAGGCGCGCGTTCGAATCGCGCTTCAGTCAACTAATCTTTTGCTTTTTCTCTTTTTCTCTTTTTCTCTTGTATGTATTAATCTTTTTTTATCTAGTCTCAAGTTTGTATAACATCTTGACCCTGAAAAGGGTAGTCTCGCAAGAGGCGTGAGTTCGAGTCTCGCTCCAGTCACCAAATTTTGTGGTCTTCTGAAAGCACAAACCACTTCTTTTTTTCTGTCGAGGTTGCTTTTTGGTTATGACTGTGACATATATCTCACCTGACGAGTGAAATAGACCTTTTCTCTATAAACGAGAAAGGCTAGGTAGTTATTGTAGCTAAGAAAAGAGGGGAAAGAAAGACGGTCAGGGTTCAATTTATTTTCTATCATCGATTTCTGGTCTGCCAAATAATATTCAATGGCTTTCGCGCAACAGTAGCGAGAGGGGACTATAATATACAACGAGGTTCAACGTTTAGTCGATTCATTCTTTTTCTCAACTCCCCGTGCTAAATAAACACTAGCTCCTTTTGCAGACTTCCTTTCTGGTATTTTTTACCCACATAAGAAGGCGTATACAAGGCATATATATATCTCTCTCTCTCACCCGAACAGCCAAGCTTAAGCTTCACGAGCCATGGCCTGTTGAAACAATAGATCTCCCACTCAGGCCACAGCTCGCTTAAAACAGTGTGATGATGTCGAAGCAAAAAATAAGAGTTTCACGCAGCAACTATATGCTTCAACCAACATCTCTGTTTAGATGAGCAAAGCCCATCTAATTTGACCATCTGTAAACGGTGAACCTGCAAAGTTGCAGCGTCCTTCTTCTGCGCAGACAAATCGTAGCCCAAGCGAGCATCGACCTCAGTCCCCCAGCAGGACTCTACTCTGATTTTCCCCATGCAAGACAAAGACAAAACCCAATTCTCCTCCGTTATAGCGCGCGCTCGCGCGCGCGCGTGTTTGTGAGTGGATGTTTACCTAGGTACCTAAGGTACCATACCCAATGATGACAAAGATAGGAATAAACAAACGGATGGACAACCTGCATTCAAATCTATCCTCCAATGAACACCATAACTGTTTGCAGCAGCTGCTAAACCCCACTCTCTTGACCGGGAATATAGGTAGCTAGCGCTTCTTGAAAATCTGGCACCAGAAGCTTGAGACCAGACGTAGCTCTAGGTGTCATAAACATACTGTAAACCTGGAAACGAGATATAGGACAAGGAGCTGCTCACTTGAGTTATTAAGACACGAGGAGACGGTGGGTAAACTCCTATCATTCGTCCAGGCATACAAGCCCAAAGACGCAGTGTACCGATGTTGCCTTGTCCAGTGAAGCAACAACTATTTCTCCCAAACAAGCTGCCCCAATCATGCAAGTGGTTTAGGCCAAGTACCTGCCCTTCCAGACCAAACGAGCGCACTCTTTGTCTCGTTAGTTGGTATACATTCTCAACTGTGACACTGCACTCACCGCCGTGCATGAGTCATAAACAGAAAGACGGACAAGTCGGATCCGTCCGGTTTCTCAACATAAGTCAAGATGGACCTAAGGGGATATGGTCTTCCCATTCACCCCGGATACGCCCCATACCCGCGCGAGAGATATCGATCCGAGGAGCTTGACGTCTGGAATCCATACAAACCCCCCTTCCCGCCACCGGAGTACAGAGACATGTCGCCGAGCACCAGTCGTGGACCGTCGCCGAGTTCAAGCAGTAGCACAGATGATAGAAGCGTCAAAGCAAAATTGGCCCAGTTCTCCCCCAAACCGCAAAACCCTGGGATCGATCTCGCATTGCGAAACCTGAGCCAAGAGGTGGTCAGCTCCCTGAAGATGTATCAAAGCCTTGTCCTCGGTTTTGACGCCCAGACCGAACTGATCAGCGACTGGGCAGACGGTTCCACTCTTGACACAGTCTGGAGGAACAAGATCAAAGACAAGTTCCGCGACAAACGGGAGAGGGAAAGATTTGAAGGTGTGGCAGGCAGAATCGCAAACTGCAAGAAATACCTAAAAGAATCCATACGCAGCGGCCTGAGCATCAAGGCCACATCTGATACGCAATACAAAGTCGAACAGCAGATCAGAACTGCCAAGAAAGCCCTGATTTACTGCGAATGTATAATCGACCTGTCACAGCGTGCAGCCAACGAGCGTCGAGCCTGCAGGGATCTTGTGCGTGAGCTCGAAGAATTGAAGGATTTACTGAACCAGAGGAAGAACTCGTGGATCTGTAAGATATCCCTGTTAAGTCGATCCCAAGACATGCCTCCACGAGATTAAACTAATATGCATCCAAGACGGCGAAGAGGTTCGTCAAAAGATGATGATCGACACGAGAGTCAAATCGGGAAGTGATAGAGTGCAGAGGAAGCAGGACAACCCCGAAGCCGACAATGGCAGCGACACGCGCGAGACGGATGGAAGGGAGCAGAAGCGGGAGTCTTCGCCCAGCACTGAAGAACTGTTGGAAGCTTCGCCAATCTCTACCGGTGGAAAAGCTTGGTAGTGCGTCGTCCGAAGAATAAGCGGGGCAAGGCATCGTCATCGGGGAGCGGAAGGGCGCAGGTGGTGGGAGGAAGGACGTTGACCTTGAAAGCATGATGTTGAAAAATCGTTAGTAGTATCCTTGACCTGGTGGAGGGAAAGTTTTACAGTGGACTGCTTACCTGGGGGAGAAAAAAAGTTGGTGAAGCCTCGTCCTCAACAGAGTAATCGGAATCGTATTGTAAGGTCCCTGTGCGAACACAGAGACCTCACGCTGCGTATTGCACTCATGTGTAATCTTTGCTCACAAGCTTCGTAATGGCCCTCCCAGAGGAAAACCTGGAACCGACGCAGCACCGAAGTGCATGCCAGCCCAGGCTCCTGCTTTTCTGATGCCAATTACAGACGCGAGGTCGCGCGAGGCCGTCACCGGCAGAGCTGTGTGATCCCGCTGCGCACCGAGGTGCGGAACAGGCACAGCCGATGGTGAAGCGATTTCTCCGAATTTCTCATATGCAGGAAAAAGCGATTCCTTTCCCAGATCCCCTAGAGAGGAAAAGAGTCGGGAATCTTGAAAGACTGCTTGCGCAGTCTCTCCGTTTGTAGCATAGAAACGCAGCGTTGAAGAGGACGAGGCTTCACGAGGCAAAAAGAAGAAGAGAAGGAGAAGAGAGAGCTCTCCAAAAAGTTTCGGAGTCATACTAGGAATTTGAGGCTCCAGCCCCACAGCTCCACCTGAAAAACGGTTGCCAATCAGAGCCTGAAGCGCTCCACCTGAAGTGCCCTTCCAGGGTTCGAGATCGCCAAAGCCGAGATCGCCAGATCCCTGCAACGTGATTTCATTGGCCGCCGTGACTTCGACTTGACAACGACTTCGTTCAAAAAAATCTTGGGCTTGTCTAAACCTGCAATTCTCTGGCCGTAGGTTTGTAACTACCTAGGTGACTCAACAGCATAAAGTGTACTGTTCTTTTCCCTTGCCCTCTCTATTTCTTTGTTTTATTTATTTGCGATCCTTCATATCCATTCCTGTAACTTATCCGTACTGAAGAAGGAGGTAGGGAGGTATGAAAGGCGCCCCTGAGCCCGGCGCCGACGCACAGGTCGAGGCCGAAGCAGAGCTCATGCTCCCTCACCTCTGGCAGAAACCTACTTTTAAGGAGCTTCTTGACTGTCTGGAAAAACTCCATGTTGCGCCGCCTGTGTGGAACCTGAAAGTCTCGCGCGCTGAAATCATCCGCCGCGAGCAGGAGGCTTCAACGGCGCACTATCGTCGCGAGGTCGTCGCGTTCCTGTCAACTATTGTCAGCAGCGGCTTGCCGTGGTTGGATAACGACGACCAAAGGGAGGAGGTTTGGAATGAGGCGAGCAAGCGGTTGGCAGCGCGATGTGGGCGGACAGGTATGTGGTAGGGGGTTTGGGAGGGCTGTCGTTTGAGGGGTTTTATTTTGTGTGTAACTGACATTCAATGGTATTGCATAGCTATGGGCGAAATCACACGGTGCTGGCCTTTTGATCATGAAGAGTATGGGTCCTTCAGTCTGGTCATACGGGAGCCTGCTCTTACAGGAGATTCATTGGGGTTGAAGACGTGGGGTTCTTCATATGTTCTTGCCCAGCTCCTCCACCAGTTTTCCTCAGGACCGCTGGGGCACCTGTTCCCATCTGCATCCGAACCTGTAACAGGGGCGAGCATAGAGCCTCCTGAAGTCCTGGAGCTCGGTTCCGGCACTGGCCTCCTAGGTCTTGCCGCTGCCTACATCTGGAGGACTCACATGGTCCTCACGGACCTGTCCATCATCATGCCTAATCTAGCCCATAATGCGGAACTTAACCGTGCGACAATTGAAGAGCGTGGTGGGCATGTTGAGACTGCTCCTTTGACCTGGGGCGGCACTGAAGACGAGGATATTCATCCTCGGTTCACAACAGGGAAGTACTACAAGGTTAGAAAATAACTCTAGTCTAAGTCTATTAGAAGCGGGCTAACTAGGTCGACAAGCTTATCATCGTCGCGGATCCCTTGTATGATAATGACCACCCTGCTCTATTGGCGAGGGCGATTCATACACAGCTTTGTCTCGAATCTGACGCGAGAGTCTTGGTTATGGTTCCCCAAAGAGACGAGATCACTAAGGGTCTTACTCACGACTTAAGAGAGGAAATGTCACAACAAAGCAGCCCCTTAGTCTGTGTTGAAGAGAACCTGGTCCCAGGAGAAGATGACTGGGAGGGCAGCGGAGCCGGTGACGAGACGCAGCGGGTTGGTTTCTGGTGGGGAGTGTTTAAAAGGGATCAGGGAACTGAGAGCTAAGACGGTTGTAGTAGAAGCTTCAGTACGGTTTGGAAGATTTTCTCGACTATTGCAGGCGAAAAGGGGCATACACCGCGGGTTAAGATACGATTTGTCTACGGATGGGCGAGGCTAGCATATACCTCTTGAAACATTGCTTGTGGGAAGTCCAGGAGAGGATTAAATATAGAAATAGGGAGACATCAAGTTAGAAAGACATAATTAGACATATGCCGATTGAAGATACTCATTTATC